TGATTGCCGAATCAGAGAACGAACTTTGTGACTGTTGGAATATCGGGCCGCAGCCCTCTCATTGGCGAAAATCCGTGATGGACCCACTTTTGTAGCCTCGATCAATCACTGGAGCGCCACAGCTTGCAACATACATAGAACAACCAGACAACAAGCAATCAACACCAACCAAATCGACCCGTGATACGTACGTATTATCTCTGACGGGACCAACAGTAACGTATATCAGGAAGGTCATTAGAGAGTCGACTTTAGATCACATGCTTAGCGATACGGAGGCCATACATCTAATAGTATCTCGATAGTCCAACTATGGCTGAATATCAGTAGCCGCGATCCACACCGAGCACCCAATAACTAGTCAGCGATGGCGGCACCGCCTTTTACCCGCGCCTCTGCCCGATCGCAGGTTCCTCGTTTGCCCAGTTCATCGACCTGATCCTTACTGTGGCTACTTATGGACCTTGACTTGGTCAGACACGGCAAGATGGCTTCCAAGTTGACGGTTCAATCACAACACATTGAGACCTCTGGATATGTTGCGCGGCAAAAGACAGACCTCTACTCAGTAACTAAATAACTGCCACATCTAACTAGTGGAGAGCGTGGGGGTGTGGAGGAAAACCCTGTGGCATCGCTGTTCCAGGGTCTCATGACGGGATAGTGATGATGGCCTGCGCTGAGCTTGTATTAAAGCCAGCATTGCCATTATCTAACCGTCTACTTTACTTGCACTCTATGTCTGGCCCTAATGATGCATAGGCTTGTCAATCCTCACAACAAAATAGCTTCGCTAAGCCACGAATCATGCACACTACGTCCAAAGGCTTGCGATCGTGACATTGAAACCGGGCACTGCTGGACACGATGTCATGGGGGTCCCTGTCCACAAGCTGCCCGGCCCCCAAGAAGCAGAATTCTTGCCGAGATCGAAATGCCATTCGACGAGGAAAAAAAAAAAAGGTTTCCAGTCTCTCCGCTCTTCCATGTTACCCTAGTGGGGTTCGCCCGTGTTTCCAAGGTCCGGGCCAAACTCTCTCTGGGTCAAGCTCGAGCTCCGCCTTCAAAAAGGGCGGGTGGTAAGACTGGAAAGTAAAAAAAGCGGTATACGAAACCCCTTTTATCCTCTTGCTTCTTTAAAATTGTCGGGTCATCCTGTGAGCCTGGTGCTGAATTATAAACAGCCCAATCGACAACTCATCACCATCTCCGGCCTACCCCCGGCTCCCGCGTCTCGGCACCGCCACCATCGAACCCGAGCGCCAAGCCAAGCCCTTTCCCCCCCCTTCCCGCTCTTCCGAAAAAAAAAGAAAACGAATTCGATTCCCAAGCCATGAGCGAGCCGACGAGTCCCAACCCGCGACCCAAGACGAGACGCAACATCTCCTTTGCCAACGTCAACTGGAACACGCGACCATCCGCAGGAAGCCGCCGGACCGCGTCGCACGGCGGCGGCGGCGGCGCTGCCGGCGGTCCGCGGCCCTCGGCGCCGCGCAGCATCTCCTTTGCGCACCCGCTTCGCAGGAAGCACTCGGCCTTGACGCACGCACACAACCGACCTGGAGCGCCCCCGCGCGCTCTCTCCTTTTGCGACACGCGCTTCACGCCCTCGGGCCCCAACCTGGCCCTCCGCCAGGGCAGCGTGTCGGGGCCCTTTGCCTTTCTCAACCCGACGACGGCCATCTTTGACATTCGCGCCGACGACGGCCTCGCCGACGGAGAGCACCCGGAGCAAGGTGAACGGGCGCGCATCCGCTGGAACGCGCGCGAGTTTCGCAAGGGTAAGGGGGGGGCTTCTACTTTTCCTTTTTCAACTTCTCGTCCTGTTGTGGTTCCATTGGCTAATTAACCACAAACTGTTGAACAAACTGCAGGCCGTCACATCTTTGTACTTCCTCGCGCCGCGCCGCTCGCGCACCGCCTGCGCAACACGTCCAAGCCCAAGCGCGTGCTGCTCGGCATCCTCCGCATGTTCACCGTCTTTCCCTACTGGGACGTGTCGTGGCTGATTGGCGTCTCCTTTACCGTCGGCTGCGCGCTCTTCATCGCCTGCGGCTTCTTTTACTGGATGCCCATTGCCTACCCGGAGACGGAGTTTCCGCACGAAGTCGACGTGGCCGGCGGCATCACGTCCTTTATCGGCGCCACGCTCTTTCAGATTGGCGCCGTTCTCCTCATGCTCGAGTCGTGGAACGACCGCGCCGAGACCAAGTTTGGCGGCGCCATGGAGACTTTTTTCGCCGAGCGCTTTAGCTTTCGACGCGGTGCCCTGCGCGGCAGCGTCAGCGGTGGCGGTGGTGGTGGTGGTGGCGGGGAAGAGAAGGGGTCCTCGGATGGGGATGGCGAGACGCCGAGCAGCGCCGCGACGTTGGGTGACGAGGAGAGCGGCGGCGGCGTGGCGACACGCACTGAGCAGCAGCAGGCCGTTGGCGGCGGCGCGAGCCGTGTCGGCAAAAACACCAACCCCTTTGGCGAGCGCGAGTGGCAGTGGCTTCCGTCGTGGAAGGACGTCAAGACGCACTACGTGTACGAGATTGGCTTCCTCGCGTCCGCGACCATGTCGCTCGGCGCCACCATCTTCTACCTGTGCGGCATCCTCGCGCTGCCGGGCATCCACCTGAGCGTGCAGGCCAAATGGGGCGTCTACTACCTGCCCTACCTCGTCGGCGGCATCCTCTTTGCCCTCGCCTCCGTCTTTTACATTCTCGAGACGCAGCCCAACTGGTACACGCCGCAGCCGTTTAAGATTGGCTGGCACATTGGCCTGTTTAACCTGCTCGGCGGCGTGGGCTGGACCCTCGCCGCGTCGTTTGGCTACTGCGAGGCGCACTGGTGCCGTTACCAGAGCGAGCTGTCGCTGATTTGGGCCTCGATTGCCTTTACCTTTGGTAGCGCGCTGCAGTGGTACGAGTCGCTGGACAAGTACGTCTTTATTATTGAGGATTGATGGGGGGGGCATACAGTTAAACAGACATTCTTGGCGTTTCTAGCATTGTTTTGACAGCATGAAAACGTGGGTTTAAATTCCGGTTATACATGGGCATTTCAAGTGACTTTTACAAGTGTGAGACATGTCTGCGTTTCTAGCATAGTTGAGAGTATGAATATTTCGCGGTCAAATTCAGTAATGAATGATAATTTGAATGTCTTGTAGTCCATATTAATGTGAGCCATCTCATGAATAATACTTCTACAGACACCTCGGAACGATGCCTGAACCCATGTAACATGACCATCGCCACCACTTTCTAGCCAACAGACTACCATGCAGAAACCAAATTACAATTGAGAAAACCTAGTGTGCGAGTACTGAATACAGCGTGGTATGTTGCAGTACCAAATTGGCGTGTAATCATCTCAAGAGACGCCCTGAATTGCGCCCGGACACTTTACTCACGAGTCCACATGACAACTTCAGGTATTTTGCGCCCTGCATATCCAGCATCTTTCATCTACTAACTAACCAATTGTCCATCAAAACAATGTAACCCTTGTTCCCTCCCTCCTTTGCCTCCCTCCTTCGGCCAACTTTCGAGGTTGTGGAGTTTTTTGTTTGTTAGTGCTCGGTCATTGTCTCACCGCGCCACAAAGCAAGGCGCATGCATGCACTACACCTTGCTGACCTTGTTGTCATCATCACGAACCAGTATGGAGTAAACAATGAAACGCTACTAAACGAAGAAGCCAAGAGCCTCTTTCTTCATCGCACACCGCTACTGGCTGACTCATCCGAGGATACTGCTCATCATGAAACCACGTTTAAATAGGTTCTTCTTCTCCCCCTTGGTCATCATCACACTTCATCCAGGTCCTTTTCACTTTGCCCATCTCGGGATGCCCTTGCCTCTTCTTGTTCACCACACACCACTATATTCTCCTGCTTTTAGGCATCGGAGCATAATTCCAGTACCTGACGAGCATATTTTGCCTTGAATAGGACACCCCCCACGCGTTAAGCAATATTACAATTACAACTACAACAACAACCACAACAACAACACCATACCCCCAAACACACACACACACAGACAACTCTCACCATGGAAAAGGGCATCAAGGCGTTTCAGTGCGTGGAATGGGTATCCAAGCGCAAAGTGCCGCACACGATTGACATTGTCGACCCGGACCCCTCCTGGCCCGCCACCTTTGCGCAGCTCGCCACCGGCATCCGCGCCGCTCTCCCCGCCACCGTCATCCACGCCGTCCACCACGTCGGCTCTACCTGCGTTCCGGGCCTCGCCGCCAAGGACGTCATCGACATTGACCTGATTGTCGCCGACCCAGCCGACGAAGCGTCGTACGTGCCCGCGCTCGAAGCCGCGGGGTACCACTTCTTGTTTCGCGAGCCGCCGTGGTACGAGCACCGCCTGTTTGCGCTGTACGCGCCCGTCTTTGTCAATCTTCACATCTACGGGCCAGGGGAGCTCGACCTCGAGTCGGCGCGCCACCGACTGCTGTGCGACTGGCTGCGCAAGTGCCCCGCCGACAGGGACCTGTACGCGAGGGTCAAGCGCGAGTCGTCGGAAAAGGCAAAGGCGAAGGGCGAGGGCGTTGGGGAGTATACAGAGTACAAAGGGGCCACAATTAGGGAGATTCTGGCGCGGGCCGCGGCCGATGCGGCCGCCGCCGGGCAGGGCAGGGAAGAGACGGTCGAGGCCGGCAGGGCAGAGACGGTCGAGGCCGGCAGGGCAGAGACGGCCGAGGCGGGCACGGGCATAGAATAGCGCGCATATAGATTTCTCTTCTATAGAAGATGGATGAAAACATGCAAGATTCGTTACCTAAATGTCAAAATGTGTGTGTATATATAAGGCATATATGATGGATGCTGTAAAAATCAAAACGCTTTGAAAACCAAAAGCTCCAAAACAAAATGCGTCTTCTACATGATTATGCCAATCTCAGGAGGTATCAGAGTATTAATATCGTCGTCGTATCGTCTTTGCACAAACAAATGGTCCTTGTATCTCGGCAGTGCAACATCAGTCACCCCGCGTTCAGAAACACCGTCCTCCGGAGGAGGACGAGGAACAGTAGCAGGGCCAGGTTCCACAATGACCTGCAGAGGCACCGACAGTGCAATGGTGATTCGTCCAGGGCCAATGGATACGAAAAGACGCAGTGTATATGTCCGCGACAGCAGGCAGCTGTGAAAAGTCGGCAGCAAAATCTTTTTGCGGTCGACTGGAAGCTGAAAACCGGCATCAAGCGCCATGGCCCACGCGCTCGCGCTCGACTGGTGGTGGTCCGCCTGGTTCTTGTGCACCCGCGTCCAGCCCTGGTCGCGGTCAAACTGCACATCCGTCGTGCGGCTGGTGTCGGTATAGTACATTGACGCCCCGTAGTTGAGCTCGTTTCTGCGGTCCCGGTCCGGAAAGGCGCCCATGTGCGACGCGTTGTAGTAGGTCTTGGCGACGAGCTTGGCCGTGATGGAATGCACCGTGGGCAGCAGCGCTTCCTCGGAGCTAGCGCCGCCAGGGGATGATGCTGATGATGCTGATGCTGATGATGATGATGATGATGATGATGATGAAGCGCCGCCACCATCTCTCCGTGCCGTAGGGATGAATGCAAATTTCAGTGCTATTCGAGTCCGTGACACATGACGCGCATCAGAGGAAATGACGACAGCACGAGGCTGCGCCGCCTCGACAGCCACGGTGCCCATCTTCCGCGACACCAGCGACTTTCTCAGCACCTTTGAACTCGTGAGCTTGTACTCTGCTGCGCCCTTGTCCCCTCCCTCGCCGCGCCCAACGTCCAGCGGTGCATCCTCGGCATGGACCGGCAAGACGCTGACTTCGTGGTAGCCGCGCAGCACCGACACGGGCTCCGGCGCAAACACTGATCTTTGCAGCACCGACGCCGACACGCAGTACTGCACCCTGGCCGTCTCGGGGCTGGCGTCGTCGCGGTCGCCCCAGGCCCGCGTGCTAGGCGGCAAGCGCAGGTGGTGCTCCCGCACCGACGGGTGCTCGCAGCGGTGGCTGCAGGCGCCGAGGGGCAAGCGCTCCGGCACGACAAAGTGAAACGGGAGCGTGTATGTGCGGCCGGGCCGGAGAATGCGGTCAGACGGCAGCAGCGGAGGCGTCGTTGTCGTTGTCGTCGTCGTCGTCGTCGTCGTCGTTGCCGTCGTCTTGGAGACGGGGGGCATGTCGAGGAGCAGAAAGTGGTGCAGGACCTGGTCAATCTCGGGCATCATGTAGTTGCGCGTGGCGGCGACGCCCGCAAACTGAATGACGACGCGGTCAAACGGCGTGTCGCGCGGGACGCGAATGACGGCCACGCCGGTGATGCTGGCGCCGGTCGTGTAAATCTTGGCGGCATAGTGGTTGGTAATGTGAATATCGATGCGGGCGTCGGCGCCAGACCGCCCGCGATGTGCTTTGGACCGCACATTGGGCGCGGCAACGGCCGCTCGTGCCTTGTCAGACAATCGCATGACTTTTTTTTTTTTTGTTTCGACGAGGCGTTTTTCCGTTGGTTTCAGATTCGTTTCTGCAACACACACAAGAGGCAAAAAGGATATATATATATCGTGGAACAGTTCAAATGTGAATTTGTGAAAGCAGCTGAGTGTCGTAACACTGCAGACACAGCGTCAACGATTTGGTGTCGCTTGACCTTTTTGTGCTGGTATTTTTTGTCTTCACATATTCAAGAGATGAATGGAATGTGTGGAATGGGGAGATGCAGGAACGATGAAGAAGAAAGGGCGCGTTGGGTGTCGAGATTCCGAGGCGGGATGTCTTGGACTTTGATTAGCCTGCGTCGCGTGGTGTTTGCAAGGAAAAGGTCAAGACAGACAGACACAATTGAGAATGATGCTGCTGCTGCTGCTGCTGCTGCTTCCGGGGGCCTGTCATGTCGCATAATAAATGCTTTTTTTTCTGCGCCCGCAGCAAGGATGCATGAAAAGGAGCAAGGGCGAACTTCAGCTCTCCTTTTAGTTACGGTGTGGACGGAGAACTGACTATGACTGGGATGACTTGGGGGGGAAGCAATTGAGGGGTTGCAACGGATGTCACCGTCGATCACCAGCCAAGGCAAAATGTCTTGTCAGCTGTCCAATTACCATTTTGCTAGTGACACAGGTATAGTACTTGATTCTATATAGTAAATCACATATAAATAAAAGTATCAATATCCATACCACTTGGGAATCTGGTCAACTTGTCATCTTGTGTCTTTTGTCTTTTTTCAGAGTCGGCCAGCCCATTCGCTTGATTTCTCAGCCATTGTATACCCGGACCGCCGAGTCACCCGTGCCCCCCTTGATTGCCTGTATTTGCTTGCGCCCTTTTTTCTCTTTGACAACAACTAACCAGGCGAGGCTGGCAGGCAGCTTTGGCAGCATCAAGGGGAGCACAAGGTTGCACGTGGCGCAGACGCTAGGCCGGGCAAATGTCGATCTCTGCAAAGTTGCTGCATTTCAAGGCTGAAATCAGAAAGAAAAAAAAGCAAACTTGCCCAAACCGCCCGCCATCGTCAGCCAGCCTTATTGTCACCCATGAGGCCGTGACCGGGGACAGCGGGCTAGCTAACGAGACCAATCAACGGTACAATCGGGCGTGCAATTATTCTCATCAAGATTGTTACCCGACAAAAGTGCCGATACGACGACGTCCTACCAATTTCCCTCTTCGCTTCTTTTGTCACCAACGCGCACCCCAGCAGGCCTCATCGCATAGTCCATTTGTAACTGTATCCAAAATATTGACAAATTTTCAATGAGCTCATATGATTGGTCCATGAATAACTGCGTTTGGCCATATGCTCTGATTAAAATGAGAAGCACCATTGCGCTGGTAGGGTGCGATGGAGATGGACGGCAGGACCAAAATGACCACGCAGACTTTGAGTTGGTTCCATCACATGTAGATTAATGTATGCGTAAAGATCTAGAATAGCAACGCTGCTTACACATGTATATTATCTGGATCAGAGACTTTCGTGATGCCAAGTAGAGGACGTGTGCTGGGTAATGGTTGGGTACTGTACCTAACATCGATGTTGACTGCACGCTGTAACATGGCAGCGAATATGCCATCAATTCAAGCAAAATTAAATAATCCATGGCATGCATTTCTGCATCTATGACTCCGACTAGTCTCCCCAAGGCGTCGAATTTATTCAGAGCAGCGTTGCTTCCAAGACTGTCTCTACGACGTCCCGGTAAAGGGCCCTCAAGGCAGCCATTCCAATAATAGCAAACACAAGATGTTAGGCAGCAATAGCCAATTCCCCAGGCCCTGAAAGCAAGTGTAGAGACTGATGTTTTGAATTGCAGCCGTTTTCTGGCCAAGGTCGCCGACTTTAATGTCTCTCGTGTAAGCCATTATTCGGATGAGCATTCAGCGCCTGGTGGCACACTGTCATGAAACGCCAAGCAGATATATCCAAAACTGGACTGATTTTGAACCAGAAATGTACAATCTGCAATGCAGATCTCGTGTGAGGTGGAGATGGGCTCATACGTTGCTATTTTGCGAGAACAGGAGCCTTCTTTTCGGTCGGCCACGGCAACAGATGTATGGCGAGATACGACAGCAACATCTCAGCAGCGCGTGTTGGAGAGAAAAAAAATCATCGGCAGCAAATTCGGGTGACCAACCTATTCTCCGTCAAAATTATATCTAATGTTGATTCCTCGGCGGCCAAGGCAGACATCTGACGTGGCGCGCATTTCGTGGTGCATGTGCTGTCTGTTCTTTGTAGGACAGGCGACTACCTAAACAAGAAGGGAAAAAACAGTGACATGTCCAAACAAAATCACTTGTAGACGCCGAATACCCCAAGACGAATAAAAATACGCACGTCGTTGATTTGCGTGGTTTCACAAAAAAAAAAAAAAAAAAAGTCGCCTCAGGCACTCGGCCGCGACCTTGTATTTCAGCAAATCGCCAGCTACTTGTCCAACGTCGGCCTACTTCTCCCTCTATTATCCCCCATCGCGTGGTGTTGTGCTCCCCCCCCCCCCCCGCAGCCCGTCATCGCCACGCTAAACTAACCTCCACGAGGACGGAAATGCTCAAAGAAATATGGCGCTATTTGGCCAACTTGGAATGGACAGAACGGGTCCAGCTCATCTGTAAATTCTGCCATCGTGGCAACTTTACCAACATCGTTTACGAGGTACGTGCAAGTCAGAAAATCCATCCCACTAATCAACGACCAAAAACTCACTTTTTTTTCTTCTGTCTTCATTTTTCAAGGATGACGACGTGATTGCCATTGATAATGTGCGGCTTGCAGGCCAACATCACTGGCTCATTATGCCAAAACGTCATGTTGCTCGCGATATTGAGAGCTTAAACGGCGGACACGCTGCACTTCGTGAGAATTCATCAGTTCACAATTTTAGCGTACTATTACTGACTACTGGGCTTGCAGTTGAAGAGATGGATCGTGTCAAGGACTATTTACTTCAGCAAAATTGCCCGGATTTGCCGCGCTCGGCTGTTCATTCAGGGTACCATCGAGGGCGACGAAAGCTTGTCGGAAACATCTTTTACCCCGACATTGTCTCCATCCACCATCTCCATCTTCATGTTATCGTCCGGCCACGCCTGGCGATGCGGCTGTTCAAATACCCGCCATGGTTGCCGCTCATGTGGAAATCGGATACTAGGGTATTGCGAGAGATTCGGCGGCAGATGTAGTGTCTGGATGCACTGTATAATTAATGCGTATCTGCCCCGTCGTCTTGGTACTTGAATGACTGCGTTGATGCAATCATCCAAAAGTTATAAAAAAGAGAGCTCTTAAAATTCGTCTCGTGCCCAAGACATGTTACAATCATCTTGATGGGCGCAGCACCGACCCTCCACCGTTTTCCGTCACGATAGACCTCAAGCCAAAGTCCCGAGTCATGAAAATAAACTCTCCGACCGGTGCATACTGGTACATCTTTGGGCGCTGACTGGCCACTGCATCCATCGTCTGTATTTCCCCGCGCGCCACACTCGGCTGTCGCAACAACAACTGGTCATAAGATCAAAAGCCTCGCATTTCAACCATTGGCTCGTTGCATTTAATCAACAGAAAATGGCACATCACTAGCTGAGGCTGAATAGGGCTGATGGTAGACACAACGAACAAGGTTCTGTACCAAGTTGGCCAGAGGCACGCTAAGTTGGGCAAAAGCAACCCTTTTGGGCAAGCAGTCCTTGGGCTGAGAACCCGGACGGGCTCGAAATGCGCAGTTGAAGACGCCTCTCGAAAGCTGGTCTCGAGGTATATATCATTTTGCACATCTCTTCATTTTTTTTTTTTTTTGATTTTTCTTCTTATCGAAATCATCCCCCGTCTTGGTCGCTCCTTTTCGGTTGCATCTTGCCGTCTTGGAAGCTTGCTTCTCACCACTTACACGAAAACCCCCAAGACAAATTTCATGAACCCCACGATTCCTTTTCACTACAAGTTTCTACAAATTTCAACAAAAGGTTTCAAGAAATAAAAAAGAAGAAGAAAATAGAGAGAGAGAGAGAGAGAGAGAGAGATAATCACCATAGAACACACCTCCCGTTGAAA